ATGTCAGAATTAATTGAGCTGTCATCTGACTCTGTTTCATTATGTTTACGATCGTTATCATCGTAAAGTGATAAAAAAAATGACTAATTTAACACAAAATCCTCATCTTTTGCCGTTAAATTACGATGATAACGATCGTAAACATAATGAAACAGAGTCAGATGACAGCTCAATTAATTCTGACATAGAAGTTGATGATTTGCAACAGACATTGAGTGATAATTTTGTTAAAATTGATATTGGTTCAGTTAGCAGTGATGATGAAGAGAATGTAACAAAAGCTAAAAAGGATGATGATTTGAAGAAATTGAACGAAAAACAGGAGGAGGAGGAGGAAAATTCAGAAGAAGAGAATGATATGAAACAAAAAAATGATCCAATAACTGTATTAGCTGCCTCAAATTCGATAACAACAGGAGGAGCAACAACCGCAGCTACTACCATGACAACGAAGACAGTTCTTCAGCGTCGTCAATTGACGGTTGAAGAAAAATTAAAAATTTTATCTCAATTGAATAAAGATGTTTGATTACACGAACTTGAACTCCAAACTCAAGGAAAATGTACAAGAAAAATGATTCGAAGTTGGAAGAAGAAAGAAGGTGAATTAATTAAATTAATTAAACAAAAATGCGGAAAAGGAAAAAAAAGAAACGAGTGGAAGGAGGAGGGAAATTGAATTATTATCTTCAATTAGATAAACATTTAATGAATTGGTATCGTTCAAAACGTGGACTGGATCGAGAAGGTGTTGGTGTTCATAAAGAAAAAGTAACGTTTAAAGGACTGATTCTAGTAGAACAAAGATTTTGTGATGCAAATAAATTAAAAGAACCATCAAAACAAATGGTTTGTTCGTTTCTTGAAGAGAAATCGTTTATCTCTTCAAAAACCTGTTCGTCTCCCTTCCTGAAAGCTGCTGCTGCCCTAACAAAATTTCGTTCTTTCTTACGACATAGCAGTCAGTGGGATCCAAAACGAGGCCCGATGGGATGCTATCTTCTTACAGATGTCTGCACCATGGACGAATCTCCCTTGAATCTCCGGCGAGACCAGTCCAAACGTTCGTTGCATTAATGACATAAATACACATAAAGAAATTGAAGGTCATCTCGACAATAAGCGATTTGCCACTTTAATTTTGTGTGTATTTCCCGAAGGGAATCATCAAGTCGGTTCTGCTCTTTTATTTAAGGGGAAACGAACGGTAGCAGCTTCCGAGGAAAAACATTATGCAACTGGAGTTAAAGTTTTTTTCAGTCCAAAATCGGTTATTAATACACCAACCATAGCAAAATACATGGCTTGGTGGTTAAAAAAGTCAAAGACGGTAACGAAAATTGTTCATAACTGACAGTTGCAAATGTCACCTGGATGATACACTTAAAAACAAATTACGCGCCGAAAGTGTATCAATAGCAGTTGTTTCTAAAGGAACAACACAGTATATCCAAGTATTGGATACACATGCGTTTGTAACCTTTAAGAACAATTACTATGATGTGTGTGAAGAATTCTTGGAGTCGAACGGCCTCGATCAAAATTAAATCTCTCCGCGTCAAAACATACGTTTTTCTTAAAATTATCACTCAGTCTGTTGCAAATCATCAACTTCTATGTCAGAATTAAATAATAATGAAAACTTTCACTTATATGGCGTTGGATAGAGGACACTTAAATGTATCTTTAGAGCGAAAAAAATCGAAATCCAAAAGGTGAATTTTCAGGACCGGAAAGGAAGGGGTGTAACGGCTCATCGCCATTACAGTGTTCTCCATGCCTGATCTTATTGCAATTTATAGAAATTCTTAAAACTTCGAAGTTTCGCGGGTTTTAGTAAGAGAGATAATAGAAGGAAGAAATTATGTATTAAATTACTAAATAATACAAGTCGTTTCCGGGGAACAAAAACGAAAAACAAG